CTGCTCCAACAAAGACCGAAGCCCCTGCCAACCCGGATGACCATCATGACCGGCCTGTGAATGCAAAGCCAAAACCAACAGAGACAAAGCCCACGCCAGTTGAAGATATGATGAAGCCTACCAACACTACTGGTAGTGAAACTGAAACCCCCTCTCCTTCCTCCGCCGGATCAGACTATATATCCTCTTGGCTTCCCACTTTTGGTGCTTCGAAGCGCACTCAGATTTGGATCTATGCATCCCTGGTCATGATCATTACCTTCTTCATTGGCTTGGGTGTCTACTTCCAGCTTCAGAGAATCAAGCGTCGTCGCACCACTGCTCACGATGACTACGAGTTTGAAATGATTGAGGATGAGGATGAGATGCAACCGATGACTGGAGCATCTGGTCGAACACAACGTCGTGGCGGTGAACTGTATAATGCATTTGCTGGAGAGAGTGACGAGGAAATGTTCAGTGATGATGATGAGCCGTATCGTGATGGGTTGGCCAATATCCAGGAAAAGGACAGTGAAGATGGAACGTCCCATGGTGGCCCCCATCAGGAAAAACCTTAATCTAATGTGGATAGTCATTTTGCATCTTGTTTGGTGTTGCGATATGCTATATTGAATTCGGTGAAATTGGAGAGCATTGTTCACAAGGAATAGACGGTGGGGATTCTATGGTCTGTCTGTATATCTCCCATTTGACAGGAACCCAAAAGCGTGCTGTGCATACTACAAAGATAATTCTAGTAGACGTGAAATAATTCTCAAGGAATCACTAGAACAATAGAGACAATCATGTCTTTGTCAGAGACTGTAATGTCGATTCTAATAATAAAGCGATGATGACGTCCGCTTCGGGAACTCCGCCTTGGGGAACGGCGATCATTGAACTCAGCTCCAACCTTCAACCTCTCCCCTCCATTCTACCTCTTTGACCTTTTCAGTCCCTATCACTCCTTGATCAAACATTTTCTGCAAATATTGATTTCTCGGCATTACTGGGGTTCCGACAACTATCAGCCGGCTGACTACGGCCGACCGACAACCCCCACGATGGATCAACATGATGACTTTGATAGCGTGTCTTGGAAGCACGACCCAGACAGCGATGTCTCACGGCCAACAACTGCAAGTACAGATGCTGCAGAACCCAGTGAAACTCACCGCGACTCCAATGGCAAGCGGAGAATGAGCTCCGCCCAAGAAGAGCCCCAGGCTGGCCCGCTAGCCGACGCCGTCGACCTGGCGGGCATCGGCGATGGCGTTCTTGAGTGCCGAGTGGATTCTCCGCTCAAAGAAAATGACGGGACAAAAGACGCATATATCTCGTACCTGGTTACCACACATGTATGCTTTCTTCTTTGCATATATTGTCGGGGAGTGGAGGTGCAACTGCTGCCTAGGCCTCTCGACATCTCTATCTCCTCAAGTGGTCCATGACTGACATATTTAGACCGACTTCAAATCATTCCAGAAGCCCGAATTTACTGTTCGGCGGCGCTTCACCGATTTCTATTTCCTATACAAGACGCTCTATCGCGAATACCCGGCATGCGCGGTGCCGCCGCTCCCGGACAAGCACAAGATGGAGTATGTGCGGGGAGACCGGTTCGGGCCGGAGTTTACGACGCGACGAGCTTGGTCGCTGCATCGATTCTTGAAACGTTTGACTCTGCACCCTGTGCTTCGGCGGGCGCCTCTTCTCACTATCTTCTTGGAATCGCCGGACTGGAATGCGCATATGCGCCTGCACTCAACACGGGTATCAACAAATACCGGGTCGGATGGTGCCGCTACTGGTATCTTTGATAACTTTACTGATTCCTTTGTCAACGCCTTCTCTAAAGTGCACAAGCCGGACCGGCGCTTTATCGAGGTGCGAGAGAAGGCCGATAAACTGGACGAAGACCTATCACATGTGGAGAAGACCGTGGCACGGGTTGCGCGGCGTGAATCCGATCTAGAGACAGACTATGCCGAGCTAGCGACGCAGTTCCGCAAACTCGTCCCGTTAGAGCCTGCTATTGAGATGCCACTACAGGTCTTTGCGGCTTCGGTGGAAGAGACCGCGCGCGGGATGCGCGGGCTGAAGGACCACACAGACCAGAACTATTTGGGCTCGCTGCGCGATGCCGAGTCGTACATCATGTCCCTCAAATCTCTGCTGAAGACACGCGAGCAGAAACAGCTCGATTTCGAGGCCTTAGTCGATTACCGCAATAAAGCCGTGACCGAGCGTGACTCTCTGGCTGCCAACCCAGCTGCTTACTACGCGTCAAACCCGCTCACCTCCTCCCCAGCATCTTTCATCCGTTCCAAAATGGAGGACATGCGCGGCGTCGACCACGAACAGTCCCGTCGCGAGCGTGTGCGGAAACTTGAGCTTCGCATTGACGAATTGACCCGCGAGGTCGAGTCCGCCAAGACTACATCCGAGATGTTCGACGAAGAGGTCATCCGCGAAGTCGCAGATTTCGAACGTATCAAGGCGGTCGAGTTCCGAGATGGTCTCGGCTCCTTTGCCGATGCGCACATCGAGTTCTATCAGGGCGTCCTCTCTACATGGGAGCGCTTTGTAGCAGAGATGGAGGGCGAAGCTGAGCCCGGACATGACTCTGACGCAGCTGCTATCGGAGCCATTTAGCTATTTCGATGTGAGCATGCTTAAGTCATTATCCGGACCGAGTCTGATATAGGAGTTCATGCCTGTTGCTTTCGCTAGCTTATTCCGTGTTTCATACCCGCAATACCGTCATAGCTCTTCATTTATTCAGATATGCAGCCACACAGGCTGGTCAAATTCAATAGTAAATGAGCAGAAATAGCGATGAAATGAACCCCCATGTATTGAAAAGGTCAAGAGCCATTAAAAACAGAAGAGAAGAATTCATGTTCCCACCACCAGCGTGGAATATCTGTACAATATGCACGGTTAATATTGTTTGTACTGTTTGCACTGCATGTCTACCTTGGATCATCCGATTCAACCTCCGATCACCAAACACAATGCGTCCAATCTCTAGAGCCGTCCTTCGGCCGTATGTTTGCGCAACCTGCCGGCATGGCATTGGCGCTGGCCGGCGGCGATTCGGGTCTAAATCTGATTCCCTTGACCTCTACGATGTGGTTTGTGTTGGAGGCGGCCCCGCGGGCCTAGGGTTATTGGCCGCACTTCGTATGTATAATCAGCATAGTGCAGATAAGCAGGGCATATGCTGAAACTATGTTACTGCAGGAGCATCACCTATTACCTCAAAGCTCAAAGTCGCCCTCATCGAGAGCCAAGACCTCCGCAAAGCCAAAGCCTGGGACCTCGAACCGAACCAGTTCTCCAACAGAGTCAGCAGCTTGACCCCCTCGACAGTGTCGTTCCTGCGTAGCATTGGCGCCTACGATTACCTCGATGTCAATCGCGTGCAAGAATACCAGGATATGCAGGTCTGGGACGGCCAAACTGGGTCCCGAATATCATTCGATTGGTCAATGGAGACATCCCCATTCGAAGACATGCGCACTGTAGCAACAATGACCGAGAACGCGAACCTAGTGCGCGCCTTGCTGCGCCAAATCGCCGACTCAGGCAACGAGAACCTCTCTCTCTTCTCAAACGCCACAGTCGCGTCCATCGAGAACGGCTCAGACCTCAAACCCGAAGGTCCCGACCTCTCAGCCTGGCCAGTCCTCACCGTCAAGCCCACAGGCCCAGCCGCGGAAACAGAGACACCCAAGCGCATCGCCGCCCGCCTCCTCGTCGGCGCAGATGGCATCAACAGCCCCGTCCGCTCTTTCGCGGACATTCCCACCCAAGGCTGGGACTACGGCCGCCACGGCGTCGTTGCAACCCTCGCTCTTGCCGAGCCAGCCAACCCACCCTTCCCTGCCTCAAAGCGAACAGCCTACCAGCGCTTCCTCCCCGCTCTCGGCGGCCCCATCGCCCTTCTCCCCCTACCAGACAACCACGCAACACTCGTCTGGTCAACAACCCCCGAGAACGCTGCCTACCTAAAGTCCCTCCCAACCCCGGCCTTCCTCGCCATGGTCAACGCCGCCTTCCGTCTCGACATGACAGACCTCACCTACATGATGGGCATGCAATCTCCCTCTTCCTCCGATTCGTCCCCATCCCACCAAGACGAACTCACCTGGCGCGCCCAGCACACCCCCCTCCCATCCCAAATCCCTCCCCCAGCAACAGCCGTGCAGACAGGAACAGTCGCTTCCTTCCCTCTGCGCTTCCGACACGCGGCGCAGTACGTCTCCCCGCGCGTTGCGCTCGTTGGTGACGCCGCGCACGTCATTCACCCGCTCGCTGGACAAGGCCTTAATCTCGGCCTGGCGGATGTTGCTTCGCTCTCCAAGACTATTCAGTACGCTGTCTCGCATGGCATGGATGTCGGTGATTTGCTTACTCTCGAGCGGTACTCGTCCGAGCGGTACCTGCCCAATGCGAAGATCGGGGGTGCTTGCGATCTGCTGCATAAAATGTATAATGTTCCTGGTGAAGGGCCTGTTGCTTGGGCGCGCAGTCTTGGACTCGACGTTGTTGATCGGTTGCCTTTTGTTAAGTCGTTCTTGATGAAGAATGCGGAGGGGTACTAGTTGAGAGTGTGTATATGTATGGCTTTTTCTTCTGTGTATTGTACTTCTAGTTGTTCTTATTGCAAGCCTTTTCTATTCTTCTATACCAAACTGTGCCTTTGGGGAGCAAAGGCTCAAGTCGTCTTGTAAGGGTGGTGATATAGGTCAAACCAAAAGACAGGGAAAATGCAATGAATTGGGTATTTTGGTAATTCCACTAAAGACACCAACCCGATCTACGAAAAATCCATGGATATCCTTAGTTCTTTTCACTTATCAATAACCTCCCAGTCCTTTTGATAGGCCATCAAGCTCCCAAGCCCGACAATGCAAGAGATCTACACAATTTTAGGGTAACATAGAAACCCTCTGAAAAACACGCTCTAAAGAAAACAAAATGAAAAATGCGAACCCACAATTGTCTAATCGTTAAACACTGGTGCCCTGCAACTGCTGCGCCAGAGATGAGATAGCACCGTGCTGCTTCTTAGCAAGGCGGGTTTGCAGCTCGGAAACCAGGGAGGTAATGTCAACCTCGACACCCTCCTTCTCGGGGTGTCCGTCAGGCAGGCCCATCTCCTTAATGCGGCACTTACCGGCGGCGAGCTCTTCCTCGCCGAGGATGATGCCGAAGGGGATGGCGCCTTGTTCGGCGGCCTTGAATTGCTGGGGCAGCTTGGGCTTCAGCTTGTAGGAGAATTCAGCCTGAAGACATGCATGTTAGTGATTGTTCAAATAACTAATATCGACTCAAATGGATGGCTTACCTTGATACCAGCAGTCCACAGCTTCTGGCAGATTTCCATGCGCTCCTTCAACATACCGCCGAAGCCCTTACCACCGAACGCCATGACGTAGGCGTCAACCTCGCTGTTGCGAAGGGCATCGGACTTCTGCTCGCGCTCGAGGCGTGCCTTAGTGATGGAGAAAATGCGGTCGACACCAAATGAGATTCCGACACAGGGGATCTGCGCCTTGGGCTGGAACATGCCGACCAGGTTATCGTAGCGGCCACCGGCAGCGACACTGCCAACGCCGAGGGTGGGGTCGTTAGATCGGTCCTCCTCCTCGGCGGGCTGCTTGGACTTGCCCTTCTTGGACTTCTCGGCCTTCTGTGCCTCTGGGGAGTCGGCCTGCACACCAGCCGAACCCTCGGTGACAACCTCGTAGATGACACCGGTGTAGTAATCCAGACCACGGGCAAGGGACATGTCGAATGAGATCTTGTCCAGCACGCCGAATGCCTCTAGGTAGTCCATCATCATAGCCATATCCTCGAGACCGGCCTTGGCAGAGGCATTGGCGTTGAGGGTCTCATCCTTCAGGAGGGAGTCGAGCAGCTCCCGCGAGCCCTTGTTCATAACGTATTTCTCAATACGATCCGCCACCTCAGGATCAAGACCCTTCTCGTCGACCATTTCCTTGCGCACATCCGCCCACGGCATCTTGTCCAACTTATCGACGGCACTAGAAATAGGCCGGAGCTGCTTGTCGGGCACACCACAGACGGCAAAGACACCATCCAGGATCTTGCGGTGGTTGAGCTTGATGGTGTAGCGGCCGCGCCAGCCCAGCTCCTCGAAGACCTCGCTGACGATGCGCAGGATCTCGGCATCGGGCACCATAGCGTCGAAGGTACCGGCGATATCGAAGTCGCACTGGTAGAACTCACGCATGCGGCCCTTGTTGATGGCGGGCTGGTCACGGCGGTAGACCTTGGCGATGTGGTAGCGCTTGATGCTGCGAACGTCGGGGTTCATGGCGAGCCAGCGCGCGAACGGCACTGTCAGGTCGTAGCGCAGCGAGCAGATCTCGCCACCTTGGTCCTTCAGGTCGTAGATGAGCTTCGAGTCCTCGCCATATTTGCCAGCCAGGATCTCGCGCAGCTCGAAGACTGGGGTGTCCAGTGCGGTACCGCCGTGGCGCTTGAAGACGTTTGAGATGGTGGTGAAAATGCGGTCTCGGAGGAGGGCATCGGACCCGGACCAATCCTTGGTCCCCTTCGGGGTCTTGAGGTTGAAGGTAGCACCCTTATCTTTCCCCATTGTGATTAATTGGGCGGAGCGATGGGAGGTGGAAAACTGGCGAGTGCGGCGGAGATGAATTATTTGGTGGGGGATGGTGGGGGCAGGGATATTATTTTTATTCGAGATGACTCGACGGTTCTGCAGGGAAGGGCAATGAGTCAGGCGAGAAATTGGCGACAGACCAAATGGATTGGCAATTGCTCGTTGTACAGAGCGCAAAGGAACAGGAATGGACGGCATAAAAAAGAACGGCGCTGCGAAACAAAATTATTGGGTTCATGGCCATCTCCTGGCCTCCTGAGGCATCTGCTGGTTCGGGAATTCTCTCTATTCCGGGACTGTTTCTCCGATCAGTTTATCCGCACAGACCATTCAAATGTTCCTCGCTCTGTCTTTTCTTACTTTGGTTACTGCATATATGTATTTTCATATATAGAGTCAAAGAAATGGATATAAACGCCCCTTCTGTGATATCTCATATTACTCCAGGGCGTTACTGCCTAACTACCTATGTCTACTATATACAAGGTAGCCTGGTAAATCAGACTCTATGGGCAATTTTATACATGTTAGAAGATATATTAAGCCTCACGGCGTTACATAGCCAAGTTCTGGACTTCCCCGGATCTGCCCTTTGTTGCACTGGAAATGGTACCCGATGCCCTTGGTGTGGCTGTGGGAGCTCTTTCCCCTTCGAGACTATGGGAGCCTGCACATTCCGATGTGGTCATCATAACAGCGACTATTCCAAGTACATGTACATTGTGCATTTGTAGAAATGGCTATGACATATGTTGCACAGTAAATCGCTCAAGTCGGGAGAAGCTGACCTACTCCACAGTAACGTCATTTCATCCGATAGAAGTGACTCGACCGATTAGGCAGATTAGACTGATACAGTGACTCCGTTGCTTTCCTATCTCCTACACTCCATGCGTCTTCTCACCGAGCCCCCTTGAAAGAGGTCAAGTCTCGCCACCCCCACCATGTACTCCATACGGATTTGGTAAGGGAGTCTGCATTACTCGTTTAATTTGCTCTTTCTCATTGGCGAAGTGGTCAGATCATGTCTGATCAGACGTTGAAGCCAGATTATCCAGATTAGCCAGAGTGCCCCATCGCGGGAACGTGCGTTGGTGTGGTACCGAAGGAATGGCTGGATTGGTACTCCGTATTGTGGTGCCTATTGGACCCCGCAAGGGGGCAGATTTAAATTGATACACGGAGTAGGCTGACGTTGGCCTAGACATCCGAGTCATCCCATGCGGAAGCATCCATGGAATCCCAGATGTTCCAGGTGATCTCCCCTGGCTCGGTCACATTTCAGAAAGAGTTCAAGTATGTAAGGAACAGTCACATTTCGTGGAAGGGGCCCCACCGCCACTCTTCTTTCCCCACGACGGAGATGATCATTGGCTGTTGTGGCTACGCCATGCGAGGGGCGGACACATGGCCCGTGAGCGAGGGCGGCTTAGAACCAATCACCAAGTTGGAGTTCTTGGTTGAGCGATGAGAGGAGGTCCTTCTCCCATGGACGTGGGGGGGGAGAAAGGCTATTCCGCTGGGGAAAGGCGTGGCCAATGAATATAAGATGGGGCTCCGGTATAGCCGGTGTATCCTTTTCTCTCAAAGAGTAAAGTTGTAGAAATTCGGCGGTTGGACCAGGTACCTGCTTTAGGTCACCACGTGGACTGGAGGCTAAGATGAATGGGGTAGGTCAAGAGGAGATGATTTATGTTGGATGTTGTTTTCTGGATGATTCTGTTGCATTTAACAATGTTATACTATGTACATAGTTACTATTGTATGTATGTTAGTTAGTACATGTATGATATTATGTATGATATTACAATAAATTGGGTCCATTCCAGAGAACTCCCCTCCTCTCTATTTTGTAAATTACAATCTTAACTTCTTTAATCTCTCTTTAATTTCCCTAATCTCTTTGATCTATCTCTCCTCTTAAAACTCCCTAAACATATTACCCCAATAACTCGGGGACTTGGATCGCTTCATTCTCCCGCCCCCTCTCATTTCCGGAACCCCAGAAACCTTATGTGATCAAACGACAATCACTTTATTTCCCCGGACTCGCTTCATTTCCTTCTCCATCATCTCTCCTTCAACATATGCCAATCACTCGCTGTGATCTCTAAACACTCTGAACACTGAGCCTCATCAATGCAGAGTGCGACCGGCCATTAAGCCATCATGAAGGCCCTCTTCTCCAAGGGCTCGAAGAATGGGGTGAGTGACAACGATACATCCCTACTGCCATGCTCTCTCAACTGGTAGCACAGCAGATACTTCGGGCACCCCCCGTGAGACCATTCGGATTGGGACCGCCGCTGACTTGAGACTTTCCACTTTGCGCAGGCTTCCAACCCCCCGGCCACGGCGCCACCCGTGAAAAAGGACCTCCAGGTACCGCAGATTTCACCGTTAGAAAAGAGGTTGCAGGACATGGGATCCATCCGTGACGACGGGAGTGACAAGTTTTATGGAATGGAAAACGTGAGTCTCGGTCTTCCCCGGAGTCTGTTTTGGATCGCAGTCACTAACCGCAACCGCCCCGCGCTTGTCTAGTATGGAAACACTTGTTACTGCAACTCCATCCTGCAATGTCTCTACTACTCCGTTCCCTTCCGTGAAGCCGTCATCAACTACCCGCAACGCACACCCATGGACAGCCTCGAGGCTGCGCTCGCAAAGAACCTACGTTATCAGAACCCAAATGCACACCTTGAAGCTGAGGCGTTGGCTGCCAAACAAAAGGCTTCCTCGCCACCATCCGCGCGCCAGGCCGGTGTGCCCCCAAATCCAAACCAGAAGCCGGAGGACAAGGAATCACCTGAATACAAGAAGAAGGTAGCATTGCAGACCCTTCCGATTTTGGAAACCAAGAACAATGCCGCCAGTTATGGGATGTCGGAGTCCCTTTTCACTTCACTCAAGGACATATTCGAATCTGTGGTAGGAAGCCAAGCGCGCATCGGTATCGTTCGCCCGCAACAGTTTCTGGACGTTCTACGACGAGAAAACGAGATGTTTCGAACGGCTATGCATCAGGATGCGCATGAGTTTTTGAATTTGCTTCTCAACGAGGTGGTGGCCAATGTTGAAACGGAGGCCACAAAGCAAGCCTTCACGGAGAAGGCTTTGCCGCCAACAGAGAGTGCGGACTCGTTGAATATGTTGACACCTAGCACGGGTTCGAAGTCACCGAATACTACGAGATGGGTTCACGAGCTGTTCGAGGGGACTCTGACATCCGAGACCAAGTGTCTCACCTGTGAAAAGGTCTCGCAGCGAGATGAGGTGTTTTTAGATTTATCGGTGGATCTCGAGCAGCATTCATCCGTGACTTCTTGTCTCCGAAAGTTTTCCGCCGAGGAGATGCTTTGTGAGCGCAATAAGTTCCACTGCGACAACTGCGGTGGACTGCAAGAAGCGGAGAAGCGGATGAAAATCAAACGTTTGCCCCGTGTGTTGGCTTTGCATTTGAAGCGTTTCAAATATACAGAGGATTTGCAGCGACTGCAGAAGCTGTTCCATCGCGTCGTCTATCCCTACCATCTTCGTCTGTTTAACACCACAGACGATGCCGAGGATCCAGACCGGCTTTATGAATTGTATGCGGTGGTTGTTCACATCGGCGGAGGACCGTATCACGGCCACTATGTTGCTATTATCAAGACCGAAGACCGTGGTTGGCTGCTGTTCGACGACGAGCTCGTGGAACCGGTTGACAAAAGTTACGTGCGCAACTTCTTTGGAGATCGACCCGGATTGGCGTGTGCCTATGTCCTATTCTACCAAGAGACAACTCTCGAGGCTGTCATGCGCGAGCAGGCGCAAGAAAATCAGGCCCCCACGACCGCAGCAGCTGACACAAGCGAGGCCGGAAAGTCTAACGGATCTCCCTTCTCACCACCGCTAGCTCATGCCCAAAGTGCATCACAAGTGCCTCCTGATAACACAACTTCCTCCATCCCTCTCAGCCGAATCCCGACTGCACCCCAACTGTCTACCTACCCAGAAGAACCCTTGGAGCCCCATCCAGCTTCGCCGCGGCCCGTTCAACCGCCTCTCCCTCCGATCCCTGACGAACCAGCTCCCCCATTGAGCCCAAAGAAGAGTGATCACCAACTACGGAAGGAGCGTCGGGCCATGGAGAAAGAGAAGGATAAGAACGAAAAGAATCGCCTGAAAGAGCAGGACCTGCACAACCGAGAAATGCAGCGACGAGAGGCAGAGGAGTTGAAAAGAGCTATCGAGGCTAGTAGGGCCGACACGGTCGATTTTGCCGAGAATGGATCACCAAGGAAGTCGAGCAGTTTCGGCTTCTTAAAACGAGGCAGTCGCAGTCTCAGTCATCGACTCACCAAAGACAAAGAGCCCCGAGTCTCAACATCGGATCTGTCGACATCACCGCTTCTTCCGGAAGTTGTGCCAGAAGCACCCCTCAAGGATGCGGAACCAGCCCAGCCAGTGAACAAACCGGTTGAGTCACCGGTTTCTTCTCCGAGAAATTTCCCACCTATTTCCAACCCCAAGCAACCCAAGCAACCCATCCGAAGCCCCGAGGCCTTGGTCAA